TTTAAAGAGCCCTTTATTTCGAAATAAATGGCGTCATTGTGTGGACGGTTGCAGGGTAAATTCGAATTAACGCTGATAAAACCGAATTAAAGTCGTAGTGTAGACCAGGCCTAAGAGTCTACATTAGTGAGCAAAACAAGATATCAGAATGACCTATGTATAAACAAAATGCAGCTGTTGCTCATTATTGTCTGTAACAAAAGGTATAAATGCTTGCTGTAATTGTTTACCTGTTGAGAGGCCTGTTTAGCTCTCTCCCTCTTATGCAATTGATAGAGAGAAAATAAAGTATCTGATTCGCTGTACCCAAACAAAAAAGTGAGAACTCTGTTATTCTCCAACAAAGATTAGGGATTTATTCCTTCACTTAACCAGATCAATTAGCATATGTAATCACAATGAAGCTGAAGTGCCATAATACTTTCCAGTTCTAGTGATTTTAATTTTTTCTAATTAACATATGAACACAAATGCATTGATCTAAAACAGTGAAAGCATAAACATTTGTTCATTGGTCCATTATCACATTGCTAACAGATCAAGTTAATCAGGTTCTACTTGTTTTTCGATTATAAACATTATTAGACAAGACTTGTTTCATTTAGTCTCTAACAGCTATATCTAATTTACAGTTGGAGATAATTGAAGCATGTAAGAGGTCACAGCATGTACTTACACTCACCATACAATTCATGAAAACACAATTAAACACCTGCCCTAATAGTCTATCATATAGTGGACTTTACAAGATTCAATTACTAGACAAGGTGTATATCAAGTTAATAACAAGCAGTAGTGTCATAAGGAAGTTACAGAATGTAAGCAAGTTTCCTCACGGCAACTCAGCTGTACAAAAGATTTGGGGTCAGATTCTCAGCTGGTGTAAATCAGTGTAAACCTCTCAGCTTCAATGGAATTATGATGATTTACCCCAGCAAAGAATCCAGCCCTTTGTATTTGACATATTAGTCTGTTGTAGCCATTTTCAATTGGCAAAATAAAACTACTATTATGAAATGAAGAGGGAAGCACTGTATCCTACGTTAAATCAAAATGCAGCACAAAGAACCATCACAGTCTGTCCATCAGTCGTCTCCCACAGAATGGCAAAGGGGGATCAGAGTGCTAAAAGGAAATGTGTCCTTTCAGCTGTTTCAGCTTTTAAACAGTTCTGATTTTCAGACCATCCCCAATTTATTTATTAATTTACTTACTTCATCTTCCGTCTCACCTTAGATGGCAATTCTAGTCCTCTTTGGGCCATTTAATAATGCAAACTAGACACATCAAAGAGAAGGTACTAGGTGTCCAGCAGCAGGGTTCAAGAAAAGACACCTTTGCTAGCTGATCCATGCAAAAAAATTATATCCCAGAACTGGGGTTTTTACAGTTTAGGGATTCAACCAAACCACCTTAGTGTAGGATGTAGGTTTGAGTGCAGACTAAGACATACATACCATGTCCACGTAACTGGAAAAGGGCAACATGATTGATATTCTGAAGCTGACAATGGATGCTGCAAGTCCATTAGTGGACAAAAAAAAGTCAGCTCCTGACAAGGTTGCCCATTATATATTAACATTTGTTTATTAATTTTATAATAGAAATTAATAAATAATATCTAGATGTAATTTTAAAATTTCTACTCCCAGAGTAGAAATTAAACCTAAAGACATCAAATTCAAGAGTCCTATTTTTATTCACTTTGCGCTGGACGCTATGAGCCAGATAGTCAAAGGTACTTAGGCACCTAAAGATGCAGGTCCAGTGGGATTTTCCAACAGAGGCACATAGATTTGAAAGAAGTGGAATTTAGCCTAAGCCAAATTTTCAGAACCTCTCATTGCACCTGGAGAATTTAAGAGTACATCATCATTTGGCCTATGTAATTAAAGAGACTCAACATTTTGTCCTATATTATTTATTCCATTGCATTGTACAGGTTTTTCCATAATATGACCACCAGGATGGATAAAAATCAATTATTTTTTTAAAAATAAATAAAAAACAATTTTTAATGTAAGTTAAATACAGGGCTGTTGTATTTATTTTTTAAAATAAATTTAAAATTGACAACCTATGTTAAGGCTAAAATTATAATATATTAAAATTTAGTTCATAAAAATAATGGAAATGCTATTTGGCAGAAACAACTTTCTAAGGCTATGTCTACACTACCGCTGTAAGTTGACCTATGCTATGCAACTCCAGCTACTTGAATAACATAGCTGGAGTCGATGTACCTTAGGTCGAGTTACCATGCGGTCTACAGGAAAAACTCGCCCGTCGACTTACTCTTCTCATCAGGGGTAGAGTACAGGGATTGACTGGAGGGAGATGTGTTGTCGATTTGGCGGGTCTTCACTAGATCCGCTAAATCTACCGCCAGTGAATCGATCTGAGTGTCGACCCTAGCTGTAGTGTAGGCCTGCACTAGGGATTAAAAAAGATGAAAATTATAATTTAAAGAGGAAGATTTAGAGAACTCAATATACGATCATTGGAAAGTTGCAGCAAAGCAGTGAAACAAGCAAATTATCCAATCAATGGCATTTTTGTGCTTTGCAGGTTAACATTTTTGCTATACCAAATTATGCTAACTTAATATACACATGGAAGTCTTTAGGAAAAAAATCTTCAGTGATCACAATACATCTAGTTATAAATATCTAAGGAGCTTGTAGAAAAAGTTATTTTTAGTAATACCTTATACTGCAACTGTATTTTGTAAAATTCTTGATTTAGTACCACAATACTAGGTTAACTATTCTTGGTAACACTATTTCTGATTACATAATCAAGACGAACTTTTCAAAATAATGTTCTGAGTATAAATCACTTTTAATCAGCATCTACATACTGAGACATTGGCACTGATTACTTAGCTCCTTTAATAGCAAGTGTAATGGATAACAAGTGTTTTGCTTGATTGCTTCCTAGCTTAGTTGATCAGGATTCTATTAATCACTCTTAGCTGTTGGAATCCTGAGACTTCTTGGAGTCCCTGTTTAAAGGTCTTGACATCATTTTGACCAAAAATCTGTGGTGGTTTACAATTCAGTCAGTCAAAGTTCTACATACTTCATGTGTTCCTCCTAGTTAAAAATGTATTTAAGATGGGTAGGGTTTTTGTTTTTTAACTGATTGAGATGGCAGTTGAGCATAGAAAAATTTAAATACAATCCAAGAGAGCATAGATAATAATATGAAATCAATGGATGCTAAAAATGTATTCAAACTTTAATCTGACATTCTTAAGCAAAAACCATATTGGGAAAACAACTGCAGTACTCTTTGATTAACATTATTTTTGTCAGCTTAAAGTGTAGTTTAAAACCACAACTGAACTAGAGAGCTTGTATCAATTGGATATATATCAATTAGAAATATTAATGGGCCAAATTCACTACTGTCAGACTGAAATCAAGGATTGCCTCCTCTTATGCCTTTGGTGATTTATGTCCATTGAGGAAACATTTTTTAGCCTTTCCTCCTAATACATGATGAAACTAAAATGATTAAACAAATTGACATAGATCAGTAGAAAAACTCCACTGCGGAAAAGCATGAAATGAAGTCAGTATCTCTTCACTACAAATGTATTAGTGTAGATCCAAATCTTGTGTTGAATGGTGATAAAAATAGTGAAATCAGAAAGAAGTAAAAGGAAAAGAAAAAAAAACTGACAAAAATAGTATTAGATACCAATACTCCAAACACTTGATGCATCTGAGTAACTTCACACGCATGAGCAGTCCCGGGCCTGGTCTACACTTAAAGTTTAGGTCGACATATCTAAGTTGCTTAGGGCTATGAAAAATCCACATCTCGACATTTCCACTGACAGCACTACAGTTACTTGTGGAGGTGGTGTTCCTCACTGTTGGAAAAAGCCCTTCAAGTTGATGTCAACCCCACAGTGTAGACACAGCTATGTCAACATAACTACAGTGCCATGGCTATGCGGGTATACTCCCCGTTGTTTAGATAGAAGTGTCTGTTGGATTGAATTTTAAAAGTTAAGTTTTAAGACCTCCGATTATTGCTGGTTATACATCGCAGAAATGTGTTACTTGGAAGGAGGTAATTTTTTAAACATCAAAAATCAATTAATTATTCATAACAAAAAATACTTAAATTCTCAAGCAGTTTGCCTTTTTCTCCTTAATGCCGCAGAAGGTTTTTCTACAACTTCAAATTCTTGACATAACAAAGTGAAAGCACTTACAGACCAATTTAAGTAGTCCTATGATGATTTCCATAATCAGGTCATTTTTTCACAGTAATCAGTTGCTGATTTAGCTTTGCTTCAGTCTAATTATGGCATCTCTGAATGACAAGAGAATGTCACTCTTTGATTTTTAATTGTGGTTAAAAAATATTAAATCCAAGCATAACAATAGCCATTGGAGTCAATGGACATGTGACAGGGTATTTCTTTTTTTGTAATCTTGACCCAAACCATGTGACTGCGGAAAGGTAACAAAGAACAGTGTGTTACAAACACTCGTGTGTATCAGAAGAGAAATTAGAGAGGATAATATCAGATAAAAATCTCTGTAGCAACTAATTCTAATGTCAGGGGATTGAAATTTTGGTGGAGAAAGCACAGCAAATGAGTTGTTAAGGAACCAAGAGCTTGATTCATTGCAAAATGTCTTGTATTTTTTTTTAAAAAGAAATAAAATATCCATCAACCATCCAGACTTGTTTCCACACACATTTCTCAAAACATTTTCAGTAAGTGTTTCATTATGACTTCTTTAGGATTTGGATTTGTTTTCAAAATTTTCTTCTCTTTTAGTTGATTTATTATTCCATTTATTCTCCTTTTGAAATAATTTTTATTTAAGATTATTCCAAAAGCTTACTGCAAATAAGTGAAAGAAAATGTTAGGGAAAAAAAAATACAAAACCCCACCAAAATTTTCAGCTCCTCCAAGGCATCCATATTTTTATGTTCATTCATTTATGATTAAACCAGAATCCTTCTTTTTGTACTTATCTTCTATAGAATATTTTTCTGACTGTGTTTCCATTCCACTTGCTGCTTCAAGCAAGTCTCAATGACCTTTTGGGCAAACATCCAAAGAACATTGACGGAGTTTATGTCCGTGATGAGATTGCACACACAGTCTCTTAGCCAAAGAATGATTTATTTTAGCATCTTTGTCTCTTTTCAGTTTAGACAGAAAGACAAATTACGGCTATAAAATGTATTTATAAAAAGCGTCAGTAAATCGTTCGTATAAACTTAAACACATGTAAACAGAATGTAAAGCAATGAAAGCTGTTCTTGTAGGAGCTACACTTTCCTTTAATAGACTATTTCCTTAGCTCTCCATAAAGTGTCTAATAAGCATAAAGCAGATGTATAGAATATTGCTTCATTGATTTAAGATTACGTTTATATTTACATAGTATCAAAGCTAGATACTTTGTATACCTGTACTACCTATAGTTACTAGCTATCTTTACACCAGAAAGAAGAGATGAGACAAACTGCTCTCTCCTGCTACTACTTGGAAATTGCAATAGGCTGCTGCCAATATTTATACAATGCATAGCAAATACACTATACAGAACATAAGTAGTCTTAGCTCTACAATCTGTTCAGTTTAACATTCATATATTTTGTAACTAAGATGACTATTTGATAAACAAATTTGTCAGAGTATGGCAAATTGTTAAGTTTTATGATAAATGAGAGCCCTATGTTCATGAAAGTTGCCAGACCGGTGATACTTAGACCTCAGTGGTTCGGGAGTCAAATTAACGATCAACATTACCCAAAAGAGCCACAGTACTGTGAATTCGTGGTTTCATTTACTATAGTATTATATATTCATATTTAAACAGTGTGACGGGAAATATTTAGTTTTTTATATCTGTATATATTCTCACAGCAAAATGACCAAACAAGTATTATTTATCAACTACAATTGGGTAAGTAAAAAACATAGTAAAGGCATCCTGATTGGTTAATAACTTAGACTGGTTAATAATAAAAATCACACAGTGTTAATATCACATGCTACAGGAGACACATTAAAAAAGTCACTTGCAGTTCACAAGAGTCAGTCTCAGTATCACTGTGCTAGACAGATAATACTGGTTGGAAAAGTCCACTATCCAACTCCTACCCCACCAAAAAAAATATATATATATATATTTTACAAGGGTGATAGCATACATATTTCTGCAGTCTGTCATGCCCGAACCTGATCTGTACAGACACCGTCTAGAAATGAGAGGATAGATCAGGCTCTACGCCCACTCAATCCTTAGTCCCTCTGAAATTTTTAACAAGAGGACTACTTATGATGGAGCTTGTTATATGGACATGAGTCCTGAGTAGACAAAACTCTTTTCAGAGGCTTAAGAGCCATTTTATGTTAATGACTTTCAGGAAATACGCATGCAAGGTGAAATCCAACATACCAGTTTTATATTAGGTTACTGCATTATTTAATTTGGTGACTGGAAGTCCTCCAAACAGATGCAGCAGAAATATTATAGCTGGTTTCTGGAGTTTCCCCTGTGCGCTCTCTCTCCTCCCCCCGCAGGGATACCAAAAGCAACAAATTTGGAATATTACTAACAAACAAACAAACTGGGGATATTTGTTGAAAAATCTCATTACAATTTTGTACTGGGAAAGTCAGACTCTTTAAAAAAAAAATGTGGCAATCCTTTATGCAATGGAGAGATTAGCAAGTTATCTGCTGCAGTACTGAAGTTCATGGGAGTTTTGCCTCCATTGATGTAGGATCATGACCCTTTAGTCATTCTCCCTCAGAAGGGAGAAAAAAGTTTTACAATTTTATATTGATTTTATGATGTTCAATTTAAAAAGTGAAGGGAAATCCTATACGACAACCTAAGTACCAAACATACTGTATATTTTTACCACTGTGTAACGATAATTTTGTTTGAAATTAAGTATTTTATGATTACATCATATTCTCTTTATTTATGGAGCACCTTTAATCCAAAGCATTGGAGAAAGATAATAAAAACACGCAATCAACAATTCATAAAATGTTAACAACCAGTGATCCTGAGTGAGAGCAAAATACAAGAAAATGGAAGAGACAGCAAAATGTAAGCAGCAGCAGCTTGAGTTAATACTTTAAATGATGCCTGCATTTAAATAAACCAGTGAAGTGACCGAGAGATGAAAGACCAGATCCTATGATCAATTGCTTGAACTATCCAATACTCTTATGTTATTTTGCTTAGTTTAACAGATTATTTCATTAGGAAGTTTAAATTTGGTGGTTTCCTATGCTTTTCTATTATCAAAACCATGTACAGATTTAAAAAAAAAAAAGTTCTGTGGCCTATAACCCCCTAACGTCAATTAGGGCTTCTAATTAAAATTGCCAAGATGTTGAGGTTTTTAAATAAGAAAACCCCATAAAAATCTATGAAACTATTTATACACTTCCAGTAAAATTATTTTTCTTTTTAAACAAAAAGAACAGTTATGGTAAAGAAAATTTACTGGTCTAGTTGCAAAAGTAAGGAACAGCTAAATCTTGTAATCCATATTTGTAGATGTTCTGTTGTAGCCTGCTTCAGTATATAACAGTAGTCTGATCTCATGGTCCTGCAATAATGGATTAGAAATCTACTCTCTGCATTGTATTAGGGCATTTTAAGATCGAGTATATTACTTTTAAGATGAAGGTTCTATTAAGCATTAGAAATATCTCACTGAAGATTTTCTATTAGGCCCCAAACTCAACTCCCTTTAGGTACTCAAATGCGTGGCGATTCTTTGGTTCTCTCCCCAGCACTGCTCTGTCACCTGGCTGGGGTCCCTATACTGTTTATGAAAGTAATACTTTTGGTGAAAGTACTTTTACATGTCCTCTTGAAAATTATATTTCATTCTAACAGCAAATTTCTCTAAGCCACAGGAAGAAGTTACTAACAGAGAGGCAGAGCTAGCATGCATGAATGGCACAGGGAGTCAACTGGAGAGGTCAGAATACTACTTCAAGCATGGGCTTAGAAGTACACATCCATGAGAACACGATACTATATAGTATCTTATACTATGCCTGACTGTAAAGCTAAGGTAATTGTATATCACATCGAAAATTAAAAAAGAAAATGGGAATATGACTACCTGTGTAGATTTTTAACAGTCTTACCTGGCATACCATGTATGAGGTCACCACACAGTACAAAGAACTTGGGCTTGGGGTTTAACTGGTTAATGGCTTGCACAGCTTGCTCTGTTAATTTGATCTCCTCTTCCCATTCATCACCTCCATTGTCACAGTCACCAATTGCCCAGGCTTTCATCAGTCCAAACTGGGGATCCGCTCCTTGGATGAAGTAGAAAGGGGCTTTCCATTGACATTCATCATCTTTAAAAAATATATATATATTAGTAAAATCTTAAAGGGAAAGGAAATTTTCCCTGTATTATCAAGGTGAAGAGTAACTTTCTTTAAATGAAGGCCACTTTAATACAGTAGACACAATACTTTAATAGAGTAAGCACAAGCATAATATTTCCCTATAACAGATTAGAGCATTTTTATTTATTGTAATTATGCAATGCTGACTTGTGGCTACAGGATGACTAGAGAAAAAGCATACCAACAACAAAGCAAAAGGTGCTTAAAACTTCAGGACTACAACATAGCTCAACAGCATGGAACATAAGAGATTCATTTTCAATTATTGCCTTTTTAATTAAATTAAAAACGCACACTACATTTTATGGTGTCAGAAGGAATCCACTTAAATTATTACTATGTTAAATGCTTTTTGTTCTTACCATACTAGAGAAAGCTTGAAAAATTAACTTGCTAGCTAGAGACACATCCCCTTTATAGGATGCCGACAGCAACCCAGTAGGAATCGCAGCATTCTTTCCTCATTCCCAGCAGCTCTGGGCTGGCCCATCCCAGCTGAATTGCTTTTACAAGGCTTGGGCAGGAACCTTCCTAGGCTCGGACTGGTACCCTCTCTCCTCACTAGGTCCTAGAGCCTGGGCTTCTAGCCTGAGCCTGGAAGCTACATTACAAATAAACAGCCCTGCAGTCCGAGCCCCATAAGGCCAAGTCAGCTGGCACAGGCCAGACGCAGGAGTCTAACTGTGGTGTAGACATACCCATAAGGTCAATTGGCAGTGAGGTCCAGGCACATCACCTTCCTCCTTGACTTGAACTTTGGGCTGGTAGTTTTAATTCTCTGGCAAATTTTTCAAGCCTGCTCGCATACATTTTAGTTGTACTATTTAGACTTACAAAAGGCTCTCCCCACTCCCATAACACGGCATTATAGGGAGATCTCATATTACTATTACTGAACTGCTTTTCGGTCTCAAAGTGCTACAGAACATTTACTAATATACTATGAAATATTATAAATAATTTATTTTGTTTGTTTTTTATTTGCTAGCTTCGATCATTTACATTGGGCCTCAAAGTCATTAGTGAGAATTGGAAGGGTCAAATGGAAACCTTAATTTAGGATGTTCATAATGGCTCCTGACTGAAACCTAGAATACAAATATATGAGCCTGGAGGCAAACTAAAATGTGTACAGCTTCCCCCTCGCTCCACTTAAGACCAGAAACTTATGGAAGAAAGAATAGGATTTTTGTAGTTTCAGTTAATTTTTTGTACTTTTGTGCCTCAGATATCTCAGTAATGGGTATCGAAAAAAACCCTTAAATAATGTAGATAGCAAAGCAGGCTAAGAAAAAATTTCTCATTTCTTGTCCATAAATAGCTAAGACCATATTCTGCTAGAGATAAGAGAACGTGGGTGTCCCAACTTTTCTCTAAACTACAGTACAAACTTTTCAAAAGTATACTGTTGCTGCCCTGATTGTCTAAAGGCATTATCTTACATTCCAGGTGTTTGGTTTTGGACTACTGCAGCTGGGTTTTTCCCTTTTAAGCTCTTCTTTAAGGTATGTCTGACTCTCACTTTGAGCTAGTCTACACTAGAAACACTACCATGGCGCAGCTGCACCGAAGTTCGCCTGCCGACATAGCGCTGTACACACCGGCGTTTAGGTCAGTGTAACTTATTTACATCCCCGAGTGACATAAGTTGTACCAACATAACCTGTGGTGTAGCCAAGCCCTTTGTCTTACCCCTTTTAGTTTTATCCTTGCTTTAATATCTACAATTAAAACATTCACTGGTAGCTATCTGAAGTCCTGGAGCTTGTTCATTATATAAGTGGGTGGGTTTGTTTTTATTAAATTCATAATGAAAAACCCACAGTCTACCTATATAGTGCTTCAGAACAAGGAGAACGGTATTTCCACCAGAATTCTCTCTCACCAGGGTTACACAACATAATAGTTGGAATAGTGGCAACTGCAATAGTGGAATAAAAATATAAAAGGCCAGCGTAGAAACACACTCAGCGCCCCTGGAACTACAGATTCAAATGTTATCAAGGTGAGCTCAGAACTTCATCCTTCCAAGGTAGCTACATTGATTTCTAGGCAACCTACAGCAAAAGTCAGTTTTTTTCAGTTAAGCCCTTAAAAATCAAAAATAAATGTCAAAAAAATAGGCTCCTAAACCCATATTTAGCCAACTAAATAAGTAGCCTGATTTGGGGATCCTTTAGTAGGAAACACTTTTTTAAAAAAATTGTTTAACATTGAAACTCAGCACACAGACTGGCAAAAGTAACTGCTATTCTTAACACACGCCATTCCACTTTCCTCTCCTTCAACAGCAAAAGCAAGAGATGTCAGGATCAGTTCTAAGTTATTAACTGCTGCCATTAGTGCCACATCTCTTTGCCAAATGTAGGTTCCTACATTTCACTTAATTTAAAATGTAATTGTTAAATAAAACAATTTATAGTCAGCTAACATCATCTATCAATTCATATAGTCATCGTCCTCTTGTACATTAATAATACCTCTAAATCTCACATTTTACAGGCTGAAAACCTTTATCCATCAGTTTTTAAATCTGAAATGCAACCTTTAACATTTTCAAATTAGAAAACTCATTCAGACAGGTTTTTATTCAGAGAAGTGAAATGATCCATCAATCCATCTGTTTTCTATAGAATCCTTTTGGAACTGGCTGAATGACACAACATAATTTAGGTTTTATTTCATGTGTCTTGCATGGAAAATGAGAAATACGACTGTCATAAAAATCAGTTTATGTGCTGCATCGAAGACATTGTTTAGGCAGAGAAATCAACTTAGATTTTTTGAAGTGAAAAGCTATAAAGATGAGTTAAGGAAGCCTGCATCTCTAAGGGTTCTAACTCAGCAGACATGTTCTATGACTTAGTAAGGAAAAGGAGGGTTTGAAAAAACTATTCAGTTTGGAGGAGTGGGAAGCTTTCCCAGGTCAGGCTGTCTGGTGCTGCTTGCTCCTGCTCAAAGTTTCTCCATTCTGCTACACAATGAAAATAGACCATATTCCTCTTAGTTTTCACTGCTGCTAGTGAGAACTCTGTAGGCAGCTGTGAAACTGATAAGAACCAAGTCAGTTTCACTGCTGCTCTGGAAAGCTCTGAGCAATACAGGAGGCAAGCACTACAGGAGAATACAAAAGTGGAGTCTCTAGGAAAAGTAGAGTATAAGGCACCCCATCAGAAATGCCCATACAGCAGCACAGAGGAACAAGGAGAAAGTATTTCTCTCTTCCAGAAGCTAGAGAAGGCTGAGGGCTTCAATTTTATCAGACACATACTAAACAGAGGTTTACACAAAAATGAACCACCTGAACAGGGTCAAAGAAAGAATCCCAGCACCCACCCCTTTTTCAACAACTTGAGCTACACAGTTGGCTCATCACCGGATTACTGTCCCTGACAACAAGAGCATCTACTTTTTTCATACTAATTGGTTACTGACTAGTAAATTTAGTCTTCTACCTTATAGGTGTATGAAAGTTCCCATGACTTAAATGTACATGTATTGGTGTGAGTGATATGGGGACAGAGAGACTATTGGGATACATTAGAAAAGAGAAGTTCAGTATACAGAGAGATTCTATGAGGAGAAGTGGCAGAAGAACTTATAATGGAGAAAGGGAAAGAGACATGGGAATGGAAGGATTGCGAATAAACAGAGGAAAGAGAAACTGAAATGATGTAGGAAAAGTTACACCATCACCTATTATAAGAGAAAAAAAGAAATTGAGTGAAGCCAGGAAGGGGAAGAAGATATATCAAAACTGAGAGTTGCAATAAGCAGGGATGGGCAAACAGTATTTGGTTAATATACGGTTAGATTAAATTAGTCAACAATGCCACGGAAATTAGTCAATAGCTATATTTTTGTAGTATTAGATCAGCTAGATAGTAAACAACAAAGAAGATCAATACATAATATATTCAACAGTTTTTTCTGCTATTTGGTCAGTCCAAGTAGTAAGTTCCTTTTTCAAAAAAAACAGGGCTTATTTACACAGAGCTCCACCAGTTTACTAATTCTTAATTAATACTTGGTGCAATTTTAAACCAATTTGGTTACACTAATGCAAAAGTACACTCATGTATTTTGGTTTAAACCAGCCTTATTATACTGTATCTTAAATTGATTAGGAATAGATTTAAAATAATCCAAGATAAACCACTCTTTACACACAGTTTGCACTAGTTTAGTGTAAACCTCTGCAAAACCCTGTGTGAAGAAAGATTATTCATAAATAAAATGTTCATGGACAACATAACAATTAGATACTGCACAGCAGTTTTGTACTTCAAAACTGCAACAGGCAATGGCTTTTTTGAGAGTGTGCAGGTATCATTCTAGCTAGGTGTTTTAGTCCTCTGTGCTACTGGAGGTCAGATACATTTTTCATACCCCGTTGGGTAGGTTATATAATCACAAACACGAGAGTTATTCAAAGGGAGAGCATCAAATGACTAGATATTCCACATTAGTGAGCATCCTTTCCATCTTAGTTGAAGTTGAAACATCATATAATTTAGCAGAGTCCAGAGAATTAAAAACTGGCTCACCATCTCCATGGTGGCTGTAATGCTATAGTCTCAAATAAGGCCAATGTCTGAAGAATGTACTGCAACATCACTAATTCCTAATTCCCACACGTAGTCATGAGAAACAGATATAACAGCTTCTCCACAAACATGTGTCAGGTGCGGCAAAAGGCGTAAAAGTTTTTAACTGAGTTTTAATCAATAAGGAGGAGGAGGATACACTTCTGTTTCCAGAAGCTAGATTATTCTTGGTGTTCTATGTTTTCAATTTTTACCAATTTTCACCAATAAATTACTAGGTTTTTTTTAATTAAAAGGGGTTCAGTTTTAACTGATTTACACCACTTTAAATCAATCCACTATTTTTTGGGGGTATTTATTTTTGTTAAACACTGATGCTTTATGTGATTGCTGTTTCCT